CAGAAGGAGTAGCTTTAACCTAAACACATACATAGATGGAATCTGCAACATAATGCAAACACAAACACACCTGGGATAGTAATTACAGCAAAGCAGGAAAACTTATATTTAAATTTAAGCATTTTGAATCAGAAATAAGATTAAGGGACAAGAGGTGAACACAACTGAATCACTTTGACACAATTAAAGAAATAGTTTTACTATTATTATGAGCTTCATAATATAAAAATCACATTCATAGATTATTTTATTATTAAATTTTTTTCATGATAGTAATGATATATAACAATAATATATTTTTTAACAAAACTAATATATTTTACATGGTTATTGAGAGCTCTATAATGCGGTGGAGGATCTTGAAATGGATCTGCTGCTTTCTGGAGCCAGTGAAGGTGTTTTAGGACGGATGTTACACAGTTCTTTGAAAAGGTCTCTTATGTCTTTATCTTTTTCAGTCTAATAACCAAACACACGCAAACAGACGCACGAACATGACACTATTTCAAAGATTCAATTTAATTAATTCCCCTGATATCGCCAGCCAACGCCAAGCAAGCAACTGTGTCCTTGAGAAATAATCCAAAGCCTAAGAACAATTTTCACAAACCAAGTGATCTGAGAGCCAAAGAGTTATCCGAAGAGAATCTAAGCCGAGGTCAGCAACTTAGTCCAAGTCCAGTAACCGGCAGAATTCAGGAAGACAGACCAAAAATCTAACTAAACAGAGCAGACAGGGAAGAGGCAAAAAGACAAATCACTTACTTGATGGCTAGAATTACTCTCACCAAAGCAGAATATTCTGGCACTGATGGCAGGAAAACAAACAGCTTAAATAGCTGCAGGGACCAGGAGAAGCAGATCGGCAGTGATCAGCCGTGGCGCCAATTAGACAGGTGAGCAGGTGCAAATGAAAAAAGCCAACCATCAGCACCAGGATTATGACAGAACCCGCCTTCAAACGTGGCTTCCAGACGCCCCAAGGGACTGATCAGGGTGATCCCTGTGGAAGGCTCTGGCCAGATCCTGGTCCAGGGCAAAACAGACCAGGACCCAGGACCTTTCCTCAGGCCCGTAACCCCCCAGTCAACCAAATACTGGAGCCCTGTGCCTCTCTGCCTAGACCTCAGAAGACAGTTGACCATGTAGACCAGGTCGCTATCAATGAATCTGGATGGTGGAGGTGATCTAGAGGCAGGCACCAACCTGGATGTCTTTACAAGTTTATCTGGGAAAAATGAATGGGGGTTCACCAACTTGGCAATAGGGAATGGCCCAATAAAATGGGGAGCCAGCTTCTTGCTATCGACCTTAAGATGCATTTCTTTAGTGGACAGCTGAACCTTTTGACCCACAGTGTGGGTGGGCGCCAGAACCTTCCGGCTGTTGGCAGCCTTGGCTTGATCACCCAGGGCTTTTGAGATGGCCTTCCTGGCCCTTATTGAAGCTCGCTGGAACCTAAGGGTAGAAAAGGTGTGGAGAGGGAACCTTGGACTCCTTCTCCTGTATGGTGAACATTATTGGCTAAAAACCAAACACTACATAGAATGGAGAGATTTCAGTGGTGCCAAGCTAATGGCATGCTCAACCCAGGGTAGTTGGCTGGCCAACTTGGTGGGATCAGCCTCCCAGAGAATTCTGATCTTAGTCTCGACCTGCTGGTTGGCCCTCTATGTCTGACCATCAGTAAGTGACTCAGAGATGTACCTCTCCATGGGCTGAGAGGGGGTGGGCAAAGAATATAACCTGCCCCTAGGGGGTGTGGTACCGGGCAGTATCTCAATCCCACAATGAAAAGGTTATGTGATGAGGTAGGGGTGTGGCTTTACCCTTATTTAAAACCTCACGGAGGTCGTGATAGACTACAGGAACTTTCGAAAGTTCAGGGTAAAAGTCGGAATCCTCGCTCCTTGTTCACAGGTGTGAAGGTCTCTTAGTTAGCTGGATGAAAATAGGATCTACAAAAGGAAGTAGACCAACCTAACACTTCCACCATCTGCCAATCAATGTGTGGGTTGTGCTTAGTTAACCAGGTTGAACCAAAAATGGCAGGAACCTGAGGTGAATCAATAATAAACGTTAATAGTTCAACATGGTTACCACCCACCACCAGCTAAACAGGTTCACTCATGAGGGATAATCGATTTAGCTGATGTCCATCTAAGGCTTTACATGGTGAGGGTCCGGTGTGGGAATTAACTTGATGCCGAGTTGTCCGGCCAGGTCCTCATACATAAACTCAGTATCTTCTTCAGAATCCAGAAAGGCCAACAAATTATGGCTATGTGAGCCAACAGACATCAATGAATGTGATTGCACGGCCCAAAGTTCCTTAAAATCGTTGAAAATAACTTAAAAACAGGTAGCGAAGAGCAGCGGCTGCAAAAAGCGCCAGCGTCCACTCAGCCGCTCATGCGCATCCGCATTCATAATTAGTGCACAAGAAAATGGATTGGGGTTGATGGTTTGAGTTTTTTCTGGAATGCAGAGGGGATCAATACTACCAAGTGCGGTCTCTGACTTTTATAAGTAGAAGTTATTGCGTTTCAAAAATCTTTAAGTGTACACCAACTTCAAGGCCTGCCCACAACCCTTCAGCATGCTCAAAAACTCACAAAAAGGATAACTTTAGATCTCACATGCCTTATCTGCATACACACAAAGTTTGAAGCTGATGGGTCAAAATCCCTAGGGGAAGTTCGGTAAATCAACAAAATTTAAAAAATGTTAAAAATCCACCTTTGATGAAAAATGGTCGACTTTCTGAGAGTTTTAGAGCAAAACACCAAGAGAATTTTTTTTATCATTATCTTTGGAGATCTAAAAACATGCCATTGCTGCTTGGGCTTAATTATGCAATTGACCATGGGATGCACCTACGTGGCCATTACAATATCATCCCTGCTTATGCAATGTTTAGAGTATGATATAATGATTTAGAACAAAGTTTTTAGAATTTACGTAAAAGTCAATGGCTGGTTAGGAACCTCTAATATTCCAGTTCTAGAGATCTTAAATTTTACAAGCGAGTTCCTGGCTTGGATTTCAAAGCTCCAACCTCTAAATAGCAATGGAAGGCAGCATAACCAGTGATTCTTCAACCAGGATTTCACTGCTTCATCCAGTATTCAGGTTCTTTAAAGTATCAACTTCTTTCAAATAACTACCATGTAGAAATTCATCTGTTTAAACCAAACCATACCACAACTTTGACCACAGAGATATACTGTCGGAAGACACATTCCTTAATTAACCTCTGAGCATTTGAATACCATTAAACAGTAATATTACAGGTTAAGGTTGTTTAAAAATATCAGAGAAAAAACAAAAACATTTTGTTAATGACTTACATGAAACCATATAAAGAAGCTATTTTTTAGAATCCATGTTTTTATTTCTGCTTGGTTCATCAATCGAGAAGTGAGTATGTTGGAATCAGAAAATGTAGATTTGCAAATAAATAGAAATTGAGTCTACACAGGAAAGAGATTCAAGCAGCTTCTGCAGGAGTGGAAGGAAAAGTCCAACCCAACTTCAAGCTTTCCTTTTCTGAATCCCCTCCTGCAGCCGTCTTTTATTAACAGAACATAGCACATGGTTACAAAACAGTATTTGTTCTGACAGAACAATTGATCAGTTCATAAAGACAACGTGCTCCATCAGAATGACAAGGCAGGATGGTCTCCTGACTGCATCACAAGACACAGTGCAGCATCCCCTTGCACAAATGATTCATAAGCACACATTCATTTTATAATCATAATTGAATAAACCTGACAGAGTACATTCATGGAAAACATCCAGGGCAGAAAATAATGCAATTAAAACTAGTTCTATGAAACAGACAAGTTTCCCTAAATCACTCCGTCATGGCTTGTTTCGTTCTCGATCTCATCAAAACACATCGACAGACAGTTTTGAAGACATGGTTTCGAGGTCTGAAGGTAGAGGCATGGTTGTGTATGTTCAAAAACATTGTTTGCTGGATCGGTTTTTCCAAGATCTCCTACTGCACCTTTAAAGGAATAGTACACCCAAAACATGATTAGCCTTCATTTTCTACTCACCCCCATGCTGAACAACACTCTGGAGTACTTTTTTGATATCTCAA